CCCCAAAACCCCAAAACCCCAAAACCCCATAAATGCAAATACTAACAAATCTTGAGAAACTAAAGCCAGATTCTTAAATAATATATGATAATTGAGATATGTTTGGATTCTTGCAATCCATTTATTAATAATTATTAATTATCATTCTCTTTGAATGTCAGATCTAGATAAAGAGAACTTGAAACAAGAGACTACTCGTCTCGTCAATGACTCCGGCAATCATGATACTAGCTAAGGCTAGCTTGCTGCTAAAAAGAAAAAGAAGAAGATTTTATTCGGAGCGATTGGAATCTTAGTTTTAATAGGAGTAATTTTGGCTATTGTGCTCCCACTTACCTTGAAGAAAGACGACAATGGAGGTGGCGGAGGCGGCGGTGGCGGCGGCGGTGGTGGCGGCGGCAACGTCATTGACCACCAAGAATTCAACGACTACGCTGTTGACAAAAACTCCTTCACCCAGAGTGTCTGGAAATCTGCTTTTAAACTTACATTCAAACCACCTACTACTCTTTCTTAACAAAAAGGCTAATCATTCATGAAAATCCAAGATACAGAGCACAAGAATACCGACTACAAGCCAGTAGATCCATCACTAATTCCAAGAAATGCCAAAAACAGCAATGCCTCTGTGTCAGTCGACATTAACTTCGACATGGTTGATAACTACAACCTCAGAATCTTCGCCAGAGACTCAGTTGTGGGAGACAAGGCAGCTGTCTCAGAGAGCCTTTTCCCTAGACCAGTACTATCCTGGGAGTCTAGACTAACTTAAGTTAACTTCACTGTCAAGAATGAAACCTTTGAATGGTCTATTGGCAATATTTACTCTAAGAACTAAATCCTGAGCACTGAAAAGAGAAAGCTATTTTTCTCAGATAAGTACTCAGAGATGGGATTCATTCTACCTTCAAAGAGATGTTATGGACTTGGGCAGAGAAATAACTAATTCCAGATTGGCTATGGTACTTACACACTCCATGCCAGATACAGAGATGAAGGTTTACCAGTTGACGATGGACTTGGAGGTAAAGGTGGAAACCACATTCACCCATTCATCATGTGCTAGACTAAGGATAAGGACTTTATGGGAATGTACTTTGTAGGCTCAAATCCTTAACAATTCGAGGTACTCTATACTGATCAAGATGAAAGAATGATCCTTAACTACATTACTATTGGAGGACCAATTGAAATCTACACTATCATGAGAGGAAAAGTTGAAGACATTATAACTAAGTATCACGGCATGATTGGTTATTCCATGATGCCTCCCTACTATGCACTTGGATTTTTCTAAGGCTCAAACACCTACAAGACTCTTGCCCAGGTTCAAAAGACCTTCGGCAGTTTCTCAGATATGGGTGTGGCTCTTGAGGGTGTCTATGCCAGTAACTACAATTAACAACCTCATCAGACTTTCACCGTGAGCTCAGATAACTTCAAGGGATTCGCAGACTACTACAACACAATTAAGTCCTAAAATTAACATATGATTCTAGGAGTCAGTTTAGCCATCTAGAACAACTATGACATCTATCAACTTGCTATTCAAAACAAATGCGTCCTTGACAGCTTTGTATTTGCAAAGAAGGAGGTCATGGGTATTCTCGATCAAACTCAGGTCTTCTATATTGACCCAACTCATGATGGCACTCTTCCCTTCTTCTAACAGACCCTCCCCACTTTCAATCAACTCATTAAAGGATTTGAAGGCCTTTATATTTAGGACTCTCACCTCCCAAATCACATCTCAGGCGAAGGCTATTAAGGACCTGCTCCCTCTTAGGAGAAAGAAGCTAAAGCTTTTAAATAAAGAAGAAATCTTGCAGATGATGATGCCTCAGAGGAGACCCTTGGAGGATACCAGCCTTATCAAATTAACACTACTCAGAATGATTACAGCACCTACTATCTTCCATACATTCCAACTGAGGATAACTTAGACACTAACACTGTTTCAATGAATGCAACTCACAAACTTGACAAGTTAGCTAGATCAGACTTGAGTGTCCATAACGTTAATGGCCACAGTGCCCTGCTAAAGATGTACCAAGCAATTATGGGGGATTAGACTCTTAATAAGAACAAGCCATTCCTCTTGACTGAGTCAACTTATCCAGGTTCAGGACAATATGGAGCTGGAGTTATCACTGATTAACATAGAACTTGGGAAAACCTTAAGAACACTATCTCTCAAGCTATGGCACTCAGTCTCTATGGAGTTGGTAACACTGTTGTCGACTCTTGTGGTTCATTAGGTGCTCTTGACCAAGAACTCTGTGCTAGATGGATGCAAATGGCTGCCTTCATGCCACTTGTAAGAAACTACTATAATGAAACTTATACTGATTCAACTTCTGGTAAGAAAATGACTACTGGTCCATCAGAGCCATGGTTCATGAATATCGACTAGGACTATGACTGGTAAATAGCCTATACCTCAGCCATCGCAAATCGTCAACTCTACTCAAGATACATCTACTCTCAGTTGTACTATGCCTACAGATATGGTGCTGCTGTCGTGAGACCTCACTTCTACGACTTCCCAGAGGACGACAAGACCTTCGATAACCCAGAGCACACTTACATGCTTGGAGATTCCATCAAAGTCAGCCCAGTCCTTAAGCAAG